CAACCAACCTTTTCTTCAAGGCTATTGTGCATTTTTTATCAGGTACACAATAGTGCTTCTGTGACTCCTCTCCCTCCTCACCTATCGTCACACACACATTAGCAGATAACTAATGTGTCATTRAAGAGTCAGCAGTGTCCTCCAGGAGAGCTGCAGGAAGGTTTCTTGGCCTGCCAAGCAGCAGTTCTGATAAGGGATCACCTGCACCAAGCTGTGCATTCCTACATCACCACCAGCATTCTCTTCCAGGTATACAGAAGCCTTGCCACAAATTACTGTGGCTGAAAGGGTTTGATCTGAAGTGGAAGAGATGGGAAGAGGGAAAAAAGAGTTGGTATTTTAAAACCATTTGWAACATCTCCTGCCTGATCCTGCATTTGAAAATTGCTTATGCTTGGAGGTTAGAGAATGGCAGTCCCTAAGTATCTCTTTCCTGGCTTTATCTACAGCCCTACTATCCAAAATCATGTTTTTATAGGCTTTACAGCAGTTATCATCAATCAATAATTTAMAGCTGCAAAATACATATTGTCAAATGACACAGCTCTGGTCTTCAACAAAATCCTTTTTCAAAGCATGACTAATAAAAGCAAACCAGAAAGTTTATAGGGTAAGTAAGTTTGAAGATTCTGAAAATTATTTATAAAGGGTGTCCTATCACAAGACACTCCCTTTAATATGTCTGGAAAATATCAGAGAGTGGAAAATCAACAGAGCAAATAATTATAAATTTAAACTGAAAAATGAAATGAGGGAGGGATGRTTCAGAGTATGTGTTCACTGGTCAATCTTAAATAATGGTCTAAGGAGCAACAAGTAAGAAAGATCTTTGTTCAGGTGCTGTATGCCTTTTCTACTGAAGCATATATAAGTTGTGCAGCGCATCGTATAACTGGGTACTCTAAAAATGAACACTGTATAATCTGCCTTCCACTAGAAAAGTGGAGTAATTGCAATGATTCTGGGTTTACTCTTCTGATTGCAGTAACAAAACCGAATCTTACTTTAGAAAATACTGATATTCACAGGACATTAACTGCTTGTGTTTACTTATAAGATCACTGCTTTTAGAAAAAAATCCATATAGAATGTATAATTGGGAGAGTAATTTTAAATCTGTGAAAGCATGATTCCTATTAGCTCACAAAATCCAGACTCCTTTTCTAAACTCCACTCTCCTCCTGAGAGGAGAAAAAAAAAAMCAAACAAAAACCAGTGGTTGCATTAAAGTAGGCTCAAAGTTGATTAGATAGAAAACATAGTCTGAGATTGGCAGTAAAGAGGTTTAAATTTTCTGCCTGAGAGCATCAGCTCTGGTTCCTAAACCTTACTGTGGGGTTTGGGAGCCACCCTTTGGTCATTGCTCTAAGTACAAAATCAATATAACCACAAACCCTGACAGTTTCTGCCCTCTGAGAAGGGCTCTTGATGAACACCTATAATTCCACTCGTCTTGACAACAGCTATTCCAAGGATATCTCTGGTTTAACATCATTTACAGAGTGTATCTCACCTCACAGGGATGGCAGGGATGAGTAATTTCTGCTTGTGGGGGGCTTTGAATGTGTTACGTGATAAACATTGTTGTTGCACTCTGTGCTGTTTTCAGTCCTGTAACTAACATGCACYAATTCCCAAAAACTGAGTGCTTGCAACATCATTTCTCACTGAAAAGGAAACAGAACATTTGTAGCTTTGTTGGTTTCTTTTCCTGGAGCCTAAAACTGACTAAATGAAAAGGTTACACCTGAATTATAGGTGCTTTGTGACTGACAGTCACAGATGAGGGTGAAAAGCAGAGTAACACACAGAAAAGACCAACAAACTGCTACCATATGATCTCAGCAAAATGGACTAGACACTGATGTAAAAAGGCAAGATCCTCCAAGAATGTGAAACAGATATTAAGCTCAAGAGGTCAGTCGACAGGGCAGAAAGGGAAACCTATGGAAAGCAGCCAGAGAGTTTAAAGTTAAGCCCCACACAACTCTTATTTCACATCGAAAACCACAAACCATTCCCGGAAAGGAAGAAACTTTTATGTTCCCTCTTAGCCTTGATGTGAGCAACCTTCTTAAATGCTTCTGTATTTTATGRGTAGGGACTAAGTTCCCAGMGTTTTCAATTTACTCCTCCCTCAGGACTTTGGAGGCTGCTCTTTCAACTCTGGATCATCCTCTACCATAGTCAGCTTTTGTTGGTCAGTATCAAAGGGAACTTGACCATGAGACAGAGAAGATAAACTGTGGATATATAAGCACTGGATAACCCAGACACAGCAGGAAAGCAGCGGTTTGGAATTTGGATACAGACTTGGGAACAACCAAAACCAGGAAACTTAAAAAGACTACAGGGTTACCAGGAAAAAAAACCAAAAAAAAAACCAAAAAACCACCACCACCACCACCAAAATAAAAGGAGGAAGGCGCGGAAGGAAGGCGCGGAAGGAAGG